ATATATATTTTGTGTATATATATATATATATATATATATATATATATATATATATATATGCACATTATGTACGTTTCTGCTGAAAAAAAAAACTAAAAATAATTTGCACTTACCGTAGGGTTTGATGGAGACTCAATGAGATCATCTGATGTCAATCTTGCTACTTCCTGTTCTGAGTCAGATTTGGCTGGTAGTTTGAAGAGTTCCTTTGTCACTCTCTCAAAATCTTACAGAAAACAAATTCTTATTAAAATATGTTCAGTCATATAAAATGTATAACAATGCCTTTTTAGGAGTTTATTTTTTAAGGTATACACCAAGAATAGTGTACTGCATAAGTTAGGAGAGGTAAAAAGCCATTAGTACATAAACAACTATGACATAATGAAGACTGACAGAATTTTTTCTCACCTCCATAAGCCACTGTCCCTCCTGGGTTCAAACGCAGCCTTTCTCTCAGAGTCAGGACCTGAGACTCAGTAGGCTTCGATCCCAGCACCTCCAGTGCCTGTGGACAAAATAACTGCCCTTTTAGAACATAAATGGTCACTGCTTTGCTCTCTCTCGCACAAACACAGACACACACTCGATTGAATGTCTATGTATAAAATATAATACAATTAATAATAATATATTTAATGCATTTAGTGTCATTTAAAAGTATTTTAAATTTAATTTAAATAAATGTATCCACTAAATAAACATTACAAATAAAACCATAAATATGTATTTTCACAAAATTATATAAATATTTCATATAAATACATACTACTGTAAAAGAGCTTCTGGAGTTAAAATCTTTCTAAAAATTGTTCATCGTCTACACTCTTTTCCATAACAACAGATCTACAGACTGTGCTGTAGTCCAGTGTGATTTAACACACTGAAGCTGTGGCACAGTCTCTGTTGATTTTCCCATAATACCACAGGAGGTGTGGATACGGGATAGCACGCTAACTGCACACATTGTTCAACAGCGGGATTAACTCCCTCCACACATGATAGTAAAACCGTAAAAGATCAATACAGTACTGAGACTGATGGGTAACTAATCGTTAAAGCCCGCTGGGGGGGACGCCCAGTGTTTGACCTTGCTGTAAACACGAGATGTTTCTGTAATTCTGTATAGTGATAGTTTCAATCTCTAATTGAAAGGATATGATTATGGAGACCTGCTCTATTTTCTCGGGCTTGAGTTCGAAGATGGGAGTCGAGGATAGAGGTTTCGAGGGTCTGCAGGTTTGCTGGGATTACAGGCAGCGGTTGCATCTGGGCAAAGAGAGAGAGAATCCAAATGAAAAAAAAAAATCTCTTTTGCAAAACAGCTGTTTGTGATTTTGGTAGAGCACATCACATTTTTTGTAAGACTCTTACATAACTCTATGAGAGTATAATTTATTTAAGTAGATGCCTCACAGTAGTGGTTCAAAGAAGTATTTGAGCATTTAAGCCACACTTAAAAATTCTAGAGTGTCTGCATTATATAACAAGATATCGAACGAAGTAGCATTTATTTCACAGAAATATAGGACACGCTTTTCAAGCAAAATGTTTCACATTTTCAGGTTGTCAGACATTAATGTAACATGTTCATAATTAAACATTTGTTTGGCAGATGACACTTGCTTTCATATTTTGTATCTAATGCAAAAACAATTATATACTCTGTTCAAAAGTTTTGGAAAAGTAAAAGAAATATTTTTTTCAGCAAGTATGCATTAAATTGATCAAAATGACATTCATGTCATTCAATGTTTTAAACAATTTCTATTTCAAATAAATGATTTTTCTTTGAACTTTGAAAGACAAGTATTTCAGTTTCCCCCAAAATATTAAGCAGCACAATTGTTTTCAACATTCCTAATAATTTGAAATGTTTCTTCAGCAGCAAACAACCATATTAAAATGATTTTTGAAGGATCATGTGACACTGAAGACTAGAGTAATGGCTGCTGAATATTCAGCTTTACCATCATGGGAATACATTTAAAGTTTAAAATATATTAAAATAGAAAACAAATATATTTTAAATCGCAATAATATTTCACAATTTTAATGTATCAAATAAATGTAGCCTTGGTGAGCATTAGAGACTTCTTTCAAAAATATTAAATCTTACCAACTTTTATAGCGTAAGTGTTATTAAGTGTCCAAAAAGGTCCAAATAATTTTTTGGGGCCACTTCAGGTCAACAATTTAAACTCTCATTCAAATATTACACCATTATTTTTGATCCCTAATGAAGGCTTGGATAAATGCTTTGTGTACAAGCAGGAATTAATATTGTTTGCATAGGCTGTTTTTTTTCTCCATACACCCCACCCGACCAGATCTGTGAACTGGAGAGAATGCACAATGCTTTGCTCAAAATAGTGCCAACCCTGACAAATCCTCTTATACGATGAATAACTGTGAGTGTAACTGAGCTTACAGGTATGTGCTCTGATCATGAGCTCACTATCTCATCATTTATTGTTCACTCATTCGTTATCTGCATATTTGTTTATCTTTTTTGCGGGGATTTATTTCCCGACAGTAATTTCTTGGAAATTCAAAGCCATTTTAGAGTAAGTGGGAATGTAACAGGGCATTACAGTAGTCTCAATGAGGGCTTTTATGCAATATGAAATGATTCATTTTCATTGCATGGGCTCCGGTGAAAATGTACATGCTGTTCTTAAAGGGGTCATATGATGCTGCTAAAAATAACCTTATTTTGTGTATTTGGTGTTTTGGATTTGAGACTTTAGTCTTTGCAACTTTACAGATCTTCTTTATGCACCAAGAGCTTGTAACACTCCAAAGAGAAAGGAAAAATTGAAATCGCATCATATGACCCCTTTAAAAGTGGTTCCCTCATAGGGTATGCCCAATACAATATTGTTTACAGAGTTGGCACTATTTTGAACAAAGCAGATCTGGTCTGGGTGGGGTTTATAGAAAAAATAAAACAGCCTGTGCAAACAATATTAATTCTTGCTTTTACACAAAGCATTTACCCAAGCCATTATAAGAGATCAAATATAATGGTGCAATATTTGATTCAAAGTTTAAATTGTTAATGCAAAGTGGCCCCAGAAATTACACTTAAGTAATAATTTATTTTTCTTCATTTCATATTTCATGTTCCTCGTTCAGGTGTTTAAATCTGTTGTAAATCGCAGCTCAGAAGAGCATTAAAGGTGCTCATCAATGAAATGAAACCCTGTCCTGAACAGAGTTCAGTATCCTCGATTTCACCTGGAGTTATGTGTCATGTTAATGGTAATATCCATTTTCAAAACCATGCCAGCTGGATTATCTTGAGTTAGAAACACAGCATCTCATCATCAGCACACGTCTGCCGAACAGGTAGCTTAATCCAGGTTATGCCAAAATGCTCCTTATCTATGAGTTTCAGATTGTTCAAAGGCAAAATGCCATGCACAGTGCATTAGAATGTTAAAGGCTGCACAGACCATGCTATTCAATCTGTGAATAAAAATAGGAGCATGTACAGTATATGGTTGGTTTAAAGGAATGTTCTGGGTTCAATATAAACTAAGATAGAAATTTTTTTATAACCATTTTGAAAATGTGAAATTAATTTAGACTTTTTAGATGCAAAAAACAGTTACAGTAAAGCACTTACAATGGATGAACAGGGACAAGCAATCTTGTATTTGTGGTAAAGTACTTTAATTATTCCCAAAAATAGTTTTTAAAAACATTTGAGGTATAATGTTTTCTTTATTGTCATTTTAATGTTGGGATTACAGTTCTAAGCAGAACTAGTAAAAAAGTTCTATAGCATGCATTATGTAAAAGTTACAGTAACATAACTTTTGTTTTGATAGTTGGATAAATATTAAAAATGGTGTTGTTCACATCACTTTTTGAATCTTTTGTTCCCACTACTACAATTTAACAAGTAATTCTCACAAAGAATATGATTAGTTGACCCCAAAATCAAAATGAAATAATTTATATTTTGCTTAAAAAATATATATTTTTAGCCCATTTTTAAGACCATTAAGATTTTTGCATGTTGACTTTTTGTATTGTTATGACTAATGTTATTGGAATATGAAAAATATAAGTATTTCAAGTGTGAAGTATTTAAACATCATTGTAGTATTTTCATTTATACAACTTGTACTTGTATAATATACTTGAGTCCAACTGTAACGCATATAAAACAGCTGCACATGTATTGAATGCAACAAATGAAGCCTTCTCACCAAAGCCAATTTATGCAGCAATGAGATGTGTATATAGCTATAATATGAAATAAATGCATACCTTTTTTTCAAAACCAATGTATTTTAATGTTTTTCTTTTCCCTCATGTATTTCAAAACCTTTACTGTAACCATTATTTTTGTTCCTTTGGATAATTTTCTGTGCTAATCAACATGAACTTGTATGGAACTCCTATGGGATTTCTATAAAGGGAAAACAGTCTTGCAGTACCACAGTTGGCCACTGTGGTGCAGGCACTCTCAGGTGAGGACACGGGGGTGAGATTAGGCTTTGCTGTTGCTGGTCGTACCTGTAGGAAAGACAAAAATTGAAGTCTTTAAGAAAACTTATGCCACACTCTTTAAAGCGAGAACAGTTACTGCATTAATGCGTCTCTGGCCACAGTCTTAAATCTCACCTTAGTAAGTTCTACAGAAGGCAATGTCTCACTTCCAGAGTTGGGGGTGTTGGCTATTTTAGGAACTAGACCTCCAGGCAGAGTTGCTCCCCCCAGTCCAGCGGGCCTAAGTTGGGGGGCTTTACTGCAGGGAGGCTGAAGGGAGATGGGGCTGTGGGGTCCACTGCTGGAGCCTGACGAAGACCTTCGTCTGATAAATGCTATTTCTACTGTAGGGTCTGGTCTGTAGGGCAAAACAGTAAATATCTGATTTTACACTCCCCATCCATCTGCATTTGTCTTGGATGGAAGCAAAGTCTCATAAGATACTAAGCATATTTACATTATGTTATCATTCTGGAAAGGTTGTCGACAGTTTGTTCATATAGACATATATTTGAGATTTAACCTGAGTTTTGTTCGAGTGAGTATGGTTTTGGCTTCTTCATGTGTTACTCCAATGAGGGACTCCTTATTGATGGATATGAGCTGGTCCCCAGCCTTTAGTCTCCCATCCTAGAGTCAAAAGAAAAACATTTCACTTTAACTTACTTCAACGAAATTTGTTTAAAAATACAGTAAAAACAGTAATATTGTGAAATAATTATACAATTTAAAATAACTATTTCCCATTTTAATATATTTAAAATGTAATTTATTGCTATGATGGCAAATATACATTTTCAGTAGCCATTAATCCAGCTCTCAGCGTAACATCAAAAATCATTCTATATGCTGATATGATAGTGAAGAAACACTTATTATTATTATCAGTGTTGAAAACTGTTGAGCTGCTTAATATTTTATAGAAACCATGATTTTTTTCAAGATTCATTGATGATTAAAAAGTTCAAAAGAACAGCATTTATTTAAAACAGAAATCTTTTGTAATATCACCAATGTCTTTACTGTCACTTTTGATCAAGTTAATGCATCCTTGCTGAATAAAGGTATTAATTTCTTTAAAAAAATTTTTAAAATAAATAAATCTTACTGACCTCAAACTTTTAAATGGTAGTGTAATATTCTGTACTTCACCTCACTTTAATTTACCTCCCTTAACTTCACTTTATTTAACTCACTTCACCTCAACATAATCTACTTCACTTTGACTCATTAACTTAACTCACAAACTACTAGGGTTTCACTAACGAAGAATCAACACAAAAAAACTGTATGTACAAATAATTAAAAAAAATGTTTTGTCAATAACCAGTTTTTCTTTCTAAACTCAGAAACATGATTCTAAATTCCATTTTACAATTTTACAAAATTAGATAATAATAAAATACCTTTTGGCAATCACCTCCTTGTATTATTTCCTGAACGTACACCATTGGCCCCTCTGCACGGTTAGCTCCACCCCTGATGACCAAGCCTAATCCAGTCCCTTTGGCAACACATATCAACTGAATCATACAGTCTCTGCGGAAAGAGAGGTAAACATAAGGGCTTGGATCAACAGCAGAAACAGGGATTTCTCTTTTACTCGGGCTAGGTCAGATGTTTTCAGGCTCAGACTCTTCAATCAGGAAACTATTAGCAGCAACAGTGTGAGAAAGCTGCTAGGTTCTGTCATTTGTTTTGGTAGTAGAATTATTTGAAGTATATACAAAAGGATTGCATAAAAGCACAAGATAAAATATGAATTAGATCTACAGTCATCTGGTTCTCACGTGCAGACTTGTGGAGGTGGGGAGGTAATGCAGGCAGTGGTGTATACTGTGTTTGGGTCTTTAGGGCTCAGAAGCAGAGGACTGGTTGATCTGGAAGATGAGGAGGAGGAGGCAGTATCGGTGATCTTTCCTAAAGACAAGAGATTTGCTTTTTAATACTTTCAATCACTGCAACTTTTTCACTTAGAACAAGATACACTTAGAATATTTTGTTGTGTAAACACTACCGTTCAAAGGTTTGGGATATTTAGGATTTAAAGGGGTCATATGATGCGATTTCAATTTTTCCTTTTTATGTCCCCACTGGATGCAACGAATGCCTCGTTTATAATGGGTTTTATTGTTTTTGAATCATCGCTCCGGCCTGACAGGGCATCATCACAGTATGGTGAGGGGCGTAACATTTCCATCACACGCTTGAGGTATTCGGCCAATCATAACGCACTGGATAGCTGGCCAATCACAGCACACCTCGTTTTCAGACCGATGAGCTTTGTAAAAATTGACGCGTTTCAGAAAGGCGGGCCATAGAGGAGAAACAATAATGTACAGTATGTGGAATATAATGTCTTTTTTTAACCTTGAACCGCATAAACACATTTCATTACACCAAATACACAAAATAATGTTCTTTTTTATCAACATCATATGACCCCTTTAATGGTGTTATGTGTACCAAGGATGCATTTTTTTATAAAAAATACAGTTAAAACAGTAATATTACAAAATATTATCACAATTTAATATAAATGTTTTCTATTTTTAATATGTATGTAATTTATTCCTATAATGTCAAAACTGAATTTTCAGCAGCCATTACTCCAGTCTGTTTTGGTGCCAAAGTAACATTTCTTATTATCACATTTGAAATGGTTGTGCTGCTTAATATTTTTGTGTAACTTTTGTGTTGTATTAATATTTTTGTGATGATTTTTTCTTCTTTGATGATTAGAAAGTTCAAAAAACAGCCTTTAAGTGAAATAGAAATCTTTTGCAACTCATTGCTAAATGTTTTTACTGTCACTTGTGAATTTAATGCAACACTGCTGAATAGAAGTAATAATTAATTTTTTTTAAATGTACTGACCCCTAACTTTTTAAAAGGGAGTGTACACACATACATTGTTTAAAGTCTGTTCTGATGCATGCTTGATGTAGTAATGGATTTTCATGTCGAAATCAATGATAGATATGGCTTTTTATGTAGAAAACAATGATGTTATGGAGGACCCAAACCAAATCTTTTTCTAAGCTGGCACATTGTAGGCTATTTTTGTCAGTTCCTGCAAGTTCTCAAAATCAGACATTAGTCATTCACTCCTGAAATTCAGTATAAAGACAGACGTAGTGGAAAATACCTGTGGAAACAGAGGTGTCTGATCCAGAACTGGTACTATTGCTGGAGCCATATTTTTCCATTAACTCAGCAAATTCCCTCCTAATTATAAACATATAAAGGCACATGCAAAATCAGTCATATATAAATTCACCTTTTCTGAAGACATCATTTTCCAGTGGTTCATAATAAGAGGGCTTTTATACAGACTAACTCTTTCTTAACAGTTTCTGTCTGTGTTGTGTTCAAAGCAGAAACATTATGTGGGTTTTCCATTCTGTAAAATCAAGCATTACATAAGTATGAACAAACGTGTTCTAAGGAAGTGCTGGAGAATATCATCATTCTTAGTTTTTAAAATACACACAAAAAATGAACACACACACAAAAACATTAAACCCCCAAACTACATTTTAAAAGGCTCTCTGTAGTTATTTAATATGACATCTCCCATTAAATGCAACTTCCTCATTAGTCCTAAAAGAAGCACTTAATTAGATTACGGAAGTCATCACAGATAAATTGGTATCAAAGTTAATGGCCAGAACTTTTCCAAGCCAGAAATGCGATCTAGGCAGTAATCTTTAAATTTGTATTATGTTTTCAAAATCTGTGTACTGTACTGAATCAGTTTGTTTGAGGTGACTGATTGTCCATTAATTATGAAGGTAATCCTTTTACAATGTTACAGATTAAAACCTGGCCTCAGATGGTTCAACTCAGGACACATATGACAGACTTGCGGCCCAAATACGTCAACAGCTGTTCAGTCGAGAGAACAAAAGTGCTCATCAGGAAGTCACTGAGACCAGCAAAATGCCAGTTTGATTTAAACAAAGACAGACAGGACGAACTTGACAACTGCCCAAAACCGAGACCTCTGGCTAAGCAGACAATGCCAAAACAAAAAAAGTCTCTGCATGTATCCTCCAAAAATGATTTAGCATGGAGTAGCGGCTTCATGTTGTCAGTATGGACTTACTCTATAGATCAAGTCTCCTAAGAAGATTTTAAAACGGCTATACTCATGTTTGGAGTTAAAAAAACTGAATAATATTAATAAAAAAGACAAGAAATTAGTGCTGGAAAAATGGCATCACGCTAAACAAAGGCCAAAATTCTCAATAAAGTGCTAAAGACTTTAATGCACTTAAGTGTATTAAGACTATTTTTAGATTTAAAAAAATCAAGACGCTCATCTGTACTCATCCATTTATAGGATTAATTATATAATGTCCAACAGTATGCATTCTGTACTTGGCAAGCAATATTTCCTGTCTCCATATAATTAAAATCTTTGAACTCAAAACAAATCAAATAAAAATAAAAAAAAGAATCTATTCCCTTAAAAAATGTAAAATGTCACACAATTCATAAAAGTCATCTTACCTGGAAGCGTCGTCACGTACTATCAGTAAAGACATGTGATTTGTAGCTGACACCATGCGAAGAACCTCCACTGCCCTAATATCAAACAGATTTCTTAGATTAGCTGTTTTACTACACTTTAGGCATCTTCTGTTGTAATACAGATCCATAACCAATCCAGAATACATTACTTTTCATTTGTAACACCTCCTAAATTCATGTTGTTGACATCTAAAATGAGGTCCCCTGCTCTAAGACGCCCTGAAAGACAAAAAAGTCTATCATCCATCATTCCCAGAATCTAAGTAGAAACATTCAGTGGAGATTTTGGGAAAGAGAACATACCGTCCTGTGCCGCCATGCCACCTGGCAAAATTCGTTTAATGAAAATACCGAACTCTTCACCGCTCTGTTCCCTGTAGCCCCCAATAATCTTCACGCCTGTCAAATTGAGAACAAGATTTTTGGGATACATTTTTTTATGGGGATGAACTGTGCACCAAATGCCTTGAAAAATAAAGCAGAGTAAAGCAGTTTTCTAGGAATATTATTATAAACTGTAAGAAACTGTGCTTTGGTTCATACCAAGTCCTTTTTTGCAGTCTGTAAACTCTAGTCTCTCCACAGCACGGTTGATGCCATGGGGCCCCATTATTGTCCTGAAAAAAAAGAGAGATTGCTTTAAATATTAGTACAAGAGATATTATCATAGAAACAAGATTTTCAGAGAAATGTTTCAGACTGTTTTTAAAAATACAGATTATCGAATGGATGGCAATAATGCGGTTGACCCTCAGAGGCATGAATGATTAAATCCTAAAGGAAAGAACATAATCATTCCCAATCTTTTCCCCCAAAATATTGCATATTGAGAGAGTTGCACATCTGTCCATTATTACAGAAGATAATGGCAAATATTACAGAAAAAAATAAAAACATGTAAAGGGGACATTCATATAGAATAAAGTAAAAATACCAGTGTGGATTTGGATGTAAAATTAGACCTGAATGGTTTTAAAAGGCTTTCAAATATCTGTACTGTAACGGACACATGCTTCATAATATAGAAATATTGGAATGTATGAATTTAAAGTAAGCTTAAAAGAAAATCTGTGTTTTTGATTATAGTAAACAGAACGGTGGTTGAAGTAATAACCCATTATCAGGCAAAATAAAAACAAATTGCCAAAATAAAAAAAGAAATACTTATACAGGAAGTAGGTTACTGTGCGTGGGTTTACATAAAAATCCCTTAAACATGTAGATAAACACTGAAAATGCCAAATGATAAATCCTTTATAGAAAGTGGGTATGTATCAAATCCAATGATGGCCTGATCTCTATTGCATTTAATCCCTATAACAGACTGAAAGCAACAGAATATAATGTATAAAACTAGGACATTTAGTAAAATGTCAATTTTATTGTATAAATATCATCACATATTTTCTTGTATTTATTTAATCTACCTTTTACCCCTCATGTTCTATTAAAATTTACTTTAAATGCTTTCCTTTGTAGGCTACATACAACGCTGCATGTGTAGAATTTTAAAAAGCAATTTCAAAACTGATATATAATGTTCACCTCACATTCATTTTAAATGTGCATCTGACTTCATCAAAGCCCAGCAAACAGATGTTATTTAAGCTTTATCCGTCTGTTTGACAAAGAAGTAGGCATGCACTTTTGAAAAGGCGATTGTTATTCAGTATAGCAACGGTGGGTTTGTTTGAGGTCAGTCTGACCCATGCAAAAACACAGATTTAAAAAATAGAAAATGTTCGCAAAAATAGAAAAATAAAAACTGCAGAAAAATAAAATAATACAAACCAAATCAAAGAAAATAACTTGAAGGAGTGTACTTGTACATTGTGTACAACATTTAGAAAATCTAAGCATGTGAAATGCATTGCATTTATTCATACCTGGGGTCACTGAGACTCCAAACGTATGTAATGTTTTATGAAAGATACATGTTATCAAGTTGACATTTTATTTATAATCATCATTTTGTTTTTAAACTATTAAAATCTGGTCAAAATTTATTTTGCATTGACACTATAATATACAAGACATGTTATGATATTAGAAAACAAGATACTTATACAAGACAAAAAAAATATTCTGTATTTGTGTCAAAATATGTCACTATTATTAAAAAAAAAACTGTACTAAACTCAAAAAAAGCCAAGTTAAGTGGAAACAAACATATGCATTAGCTAAAGACTCAACAGTGTTCATGGAACAGATGATGATTCACTCCTGGACTTTTTTAATCTCAGACTAAAGTGCTGTTTTTGTTTTGTTGAGTTCATGTGGCGGTCAGCGCGAACTGAACAGGATGACAAGGACAAACGCCTGCGCTCCTTACTAGTGATGTATTTAACCTGATTCCCATCTCTGCAGTTAGTGTTCGTTGTTATCTCCTCCTCTACACTGTAAACAATGCACTTTAATCTCCGTCACATTAAGAGCAACGAAGAGAATTAGAATTACTGTTCAGTATAATGACATGATCTGTCCTTTACTTCAGCAGGCATGTCATGGTTACGACACGTTTATTTCCATCAAATCTATATCAAAAGGATTTTGTCCTACAAAATGCATACATCATAAAGCATTACGGGAAATAAAAGGATTTGTCTTTAACAAGTCACCCTGAACAAAGAGAGCCCAGATGTAGTGCGTGAGATTGTGTTACAAAAGATCCAGCATTAAACTGATCACTTAATTCTACTTAATCTCTCTTACCTTGCTCAAGCCATGTAAGGATATGCGCTCAAGTGACTACAGCGAAACTACGCAGGCATCCCCCTAGGGTGCATCCTGTCTGTCTTGATCTAACGTTCCACTTCCTACTGGTTCATCCCCAAGACAATGATAATGAACTCTAAATTATTTAAAAATGACAAGTTCTTATGTACAGTCAGGAACTCTCTGTTGCGTCCGAAAGCTGATTAAATAGAAATATGCTGAAATGTTCCAAGGCAATTGTAACATCCATGCCAAACACATTCAAACAAGCAGAAACATTAAGGCAACAACACAAGCGCAGCAAATAAGGCTATGATAGACATCAAATAAGCTTTAAAAGCATTAGTATTTGCTTAATCTAAAGTCACTCAGCCAGATAACAACCAGATAATGGCATTTCCTACCAGTAGAGGAGTGATAGCCCGTCAAAGTGTTCTGTCTCCACTTGTGGAAGCAGTGCCATTGCAGGTCCCCAAGCAACTGATGATGTGTTGTAAAGTCTAAGGTATCACCGGGTCGGGGGGAACGGCGGTTCAAATCAGGTCAGTCTCGACGACCGAGAGACAGCAATCTACCCAGACAGTAATAGACACACTCCTACCTATCCACTAATCTCTCCTGATACCCCGCAGTCACATGGTTCGTCTCACCTCTCTCTGCGCTGTCACAGCTGATGATGATTCTGCCTCTCTGGAGGCAGGAAAGCTCAAAACTTGACACCGGGCTGTGATGTGGAACGAGGGGACGGGAGTCTGACTGCATGATTTCTGATGCAGGGACACTGAATCTACAGTCCAGTCTATTGAAAACTGAAAAGACAATTAAGAAACATAAGTTAGCTTTGTCCACATAAAAAACAACTACAGTTTATGCATATAAAAAATAGAAATAAAATCAAATAGAAATTCATTAAAAGGGTCTAAAATCAAGAAATTGTTTTACCACTCACAAATTCCCATTTTAAAGGGGTCATATGATGCTTTTTTAAAAATCATTATTTTGTGTATTTGGTGTAACAGAATATGTTGACATGCTTTAATGTTCAAAAAACATTATTTT